TAAAAAATTTTAAAAATATATTTATTATCAGTTAGCCTTTAACCAATAATTTCAAATTATTGTGCCAAAAAATTCCTCAAAGGAATTCAAATTTTGACCACAGTTTTGGAGGGTAGTGTACATTTAGTGATGCACGGGCTTTGATCCTAGAAACAAAAAGCAAAAGGGTGGAATTGTGGAAAATTCAAAATACTGCTTTTGCCTGCCGAATCATTTTGGTCCAAAGTGGAAATAATGTTGTTAATCATTCAAAGTGCTTTATAAAATTCGATCATTTCAAAGTTGGAAAGATTTATTTTTTCATTTTGAAAATTGATGATGCTATAAGAATAATATTTTGATATTATATTTTGATATAATTTTTTATATTATATTTTAATATAATTTTTATATGTTATTAAATGAATGAATATATTTAATATTATTGGTTTCACATGAATAAAAAAAAATCAATCATTTAAATGATATGTCAGATTATATCTAAATGTGATATAAAAAAATTATTCCAAAATTATTTTCCTTTTAAAATGAAACTGTGTTAGCCATTTCCTAAACTACCACTTATAAGCCTTTATTTTTGTTGCTTATTAGGTCCATCTTAAATGGAATAAACAATTCTAACGAATATGGTTAGTGGAAGGGACCTGTATGATATAAGGTAAGAATGCAATTAACAAAATATAATGACCTATCAATAACTTAAATAATTTAATAATAATATCTTTTAATTGGAAGTAAGATTTTATAGACTTAAATCACATTGTACGTGGGTGTGTGGATTAGGAAATTAAAAAAGTTGGCTTATATTATGCAATTTAAGATAAACAAAAGTAAAAAAAGTAGTGACTTTTACTTTATTTATACAAATTTAGATTGCATAAAGATTTTTTATGGTCTAACATATTCAAATGACAAAAAAAAAAAAAGAAACTCTTATTATTTATTGCATCATATTCTTAGGACTTGTTTGGTATCGTGGTCAAAATTCACTGCATAGCAGATAATGGGAAGTGGGTAGCGAATAACGATAGCGATAGCGATAATTAGTAATGGGTAACGGATAGCGATAACGTGTAGTAGTTAGCGGATTGTGGGTGGTGATTAGTGGATAGAGGTCCATGGAGATGGCAACAGGTTCCACGAGACCGACAAGTCCCTCCCCATCCCCATCCCTGTGAATGGCAAGGACGAGGATCCGCACAGGGATTTACCTCCCATCCCCATTCCCCATCAATTAATATTTAAATATATATTTTTTACATCAAACATAAATAAAGATTAATTTAATATAAATAATTAAATCAATAAACTTGTTCCAAACATAAAT